GCAGTTTGGGCTGAATCCAGTAAATGAAATAAAAGAGTTGATTGTGAATTTAAAAACTGAATATTTGACTTTTTACCATCTATTATTACATTGTGAAGCGTTTAACAAAGACTTTTGTTAGATGAGCGGGGGAAACCTCTGCGAATCGAACCCAGGATTTAACATAGACTTTTGTGCACACAAGATGAGCAGGGGAAACCTCTGCGAATCGAACCCAGGACTCTCTGCTTCTGAGTCAGGCATGCTAACTACTGGAACCACAAAACAACTACTTAAATATAGAGTAAATAATTAATAGTAAATAATACTTGTGTACACGCCACATAGCTAAAACCATATACTACAACTCTATGTTGGTTTTTGGAAGACTGGTCAATGAGATGCTCGGGTCCAAACCTATCTGAGAAATCCACATTTGGGTCCATTTTAAGAAACCAATTGTCCAGTTATAAGTACAAACGGATGAGACTATGCTCAAAGACAGCTTCTTTAAAAGCGTGTTAGTAACCATCATATAGGGTGGTTGAAAGATCATTACATTTTCAAAATAGAACATCTTTCAGACTTTATTCTGTTAGTATCAGAGTCTGAAAACTATGGTTTTGAAACATTGCAGGATTATCTTTTAATGAAAAAGCAGGGATGTCCAATATTAACTTTTTTCTGATATCCAATATGCCGATATTGTCCAAACACGTCAATTCCGATTCCGATATCAAACGATACCAATAAAGTGGGGTAGTGATGGCCCACTATACTAAAGTGATGGGTTAAAGCTGTGCCCCCCAACTATTTTTACAGCAGACATCATTTCGCAAAACCCAGATATCAGTTTTAAATAATGGAGAAAAACCTGAAAAGCCGATAACGATTCTTACAGATATTACATGATTATGCTAATATCGGGCGATATTATCGGTCGGACGATATTATTGGACATCCCTATGAAAAAGTAAATGGATATGACTGGATTCTTTTCAATTGAAGTAAACTAGAAAAACTGAAGTACTCTCTGCAGGCCGGTACCAAATGACCTACGGACCGGCACCGGTCCCCGAACCAGGGGTTGTGAACCCCAGGTATAGGGAATCTGTGTAAAAGTGAATTGGGATTTTGTAGACGTGTCCTTTTGTAAAGCATAGATTACAGTTTTTTTTTCTTATGATATCTATTAGCATAAAATCGAATAGCTTTAAAAAAAAATCTAACAAAGTGAAGCAGTCTATACTGCTTCCATTTTCCTGGGATTTGATTTTTTCCAATTATTATTATTATTTTTTTTACAACAGTTCCAGCAGCTCTAACTGAACCCAGCTTTTGTTTTTTGCCCAACAGATGATCTGAGGATGTTTTACAGGAAGACTGTGACCCTGCCAAAAATTCACTTTCATGTTATTAAGCAAACATTCTGTGTCACAGTTAGCTCCTGGCTTTTAATCAGTCAGACCATCCAGCCAAAAGTGACACACAGTATTCTTATTATCTTTGATTATAAACTGGCCACATCATCAAATATCTGTCGAGCGTGTGTGAGGGTCTATAAAGCATCTCTAAATAATAACACTACTCAATATTGACCAAATGGTTTTGTTCTTCTCTACAATTGCTGCCATATCAAATTTTTGAACAACACAATTATTGAAGTGAAAGCTTCTACTGCATATATTCACCAACAGGAGGGCTTAGGTCGGTGGTTCGCAACCCTTTTCTCATTCCTCCCACTATGACAAATTTACAGCATAAAAACTCCAACAGACATCATTACAACCAAAACAATGCACATCTCTACAAAAAGCAATATTTTCATTAAAAAATGATGCCCCGCTCGGCCCCCCTTCAATAGTTCCCCATGGACCACAAACCATTTTGGGCACCACTGGGTTCTTCATTTCTAAATAAACCTGTTGTAAATGCACTGTATAATTTTTTTTATTTTTTTTTTATTTTACGGGTGATAAAAACAATGTTTTGTATGTATCATAAGTAACAAAGTTTCATTGCTTAAAAAGGTTTCTGTAAAACAAGAGAAAGCCAGTCTCCTCCAGTTCAGAACTGAAGAAGCCTCTTGGATGAGAGGTGAAACATCTTCAAGAAACCTACTCTGTCCAGTTGCCCTTGATGTAACTATTTTTGGATAACGATTGTTTTTGCTACACAGTCAGTCTCCTTTTTATTTACCATATTTTCTGAATTATGAGTCGCAGCAGCCAAAAGTCACTCTGGAGTATAAGTCGCACCGGCAAAAGGATGAAAAAGACTTACAGGAATAGCAGATACTGATATACAAGCCTAGAGTGCCCTCTAGCAGCAGTCAGTGTGAAAATAACGAACATGTACATTTTCAGGGGTACAGGAATAGCAGGTACTGGTATACAAGCCTAGAGTGCCCTCTAGCGGCTGTAAGTGTGAAAATAACAAACAAAAAAACTCCTGACTTATAGTCCGTAAAATATAGTACATTTGTTTGGCCTGTATACTGTTATGGTGGACAGTGGATAATGACACTAAACTATTGATATAATAAAGAGCTACTTTACAATCAACACAATGACTGGGTCAAAAAGTTCAATTTTTTTTACTGAATTTTGTTTAAATCATTTATGTTTTTGCGAGAGCAAAAAACAAATTGCTTTTGTAAAAGAATGACATACACAGAGGTAAAATTTGACATTTGCCCAAACACTTTCAGGCCTGTAACTGCTGCGTTGACAAGGAAAGGAATCAGTCTGTGACTTTGCCAAAGAACTGATGTCTTTAGCCTCCAATTATTTATGACTTTTGCCTCCTGTTATTTTATGTTGTCTTCCAGTTATTTTATTTTGCCAAAATTCTAAACAAGGTCTTTGATTTTTATATATGTATTATCAAACTGTTCAATGGAATTGAAACCAAAGCTGAGCCGTCAAAATTCTAAGTCTTTGATTTTTATATGATATGTATTATCAAACTATTCAATGGAATTGAAACCAAAGCTGAGCCCTAATGGTAGTTTGACAACATCAAACACGCAAAGTACGGCATTCTTTTTTTTCCAAAAAAGTCAGTTTCTCTCATGTGCACGTTCTTTGAAATGGTTTTTCCGAGAGCAGCGGTGAAGCGGTGCTGCCTTTCTTCGTACTCTGCTTCTCAGAGTGAAGATCTGATCTGGCACCAGTTGACCACATGATGGTTTGGTAGCTGTGCCTCTCTGAAGTATGTTACTCACTCTTCTGGGTGTGGACAGTGTGTGGTTGTGCCTTAATAACTGACTGGACCTTTCTGGGACCCATTTAGAGGGCACTCAGGCAGTGCAGAGCCCAGGTCTGAGCAGTTTTACTGAGAAGTTGCAGCAGAAGGAGAGCATGTATTCTAAGATAGAGCTAAGATAAACTTCAAGTGGTTATTTCGTCTGGACACATCCACAAAACCAAGAGAAAATATGTTGATTAACAACAGAATCGTCTCTTTTGCTTAATCTCTGTCAGGATCACAGGGGCAGTTGGATGAATACCTCTTTACAAACGTATCCATGCATCCTCATACTATGTATGGACTGTCCATAATACCTCATTTCAAATCTGCATTAATTTGAACTATAGGAGAGCGACAACATCCCTCGGAATTTGAGCACATTTGAGGAGAAATTGCAATTTTCCATGTATCGTTCTTCTTGTTATGAGGGAAAAAAACAACAACAAAAAACTGGTCACTACATGAGGTCATGTGGCCCTCAGTAACAAATATATAAATATAAATGAATGCCTTTTTTCCTTCTTTTTTTGCAGGAATGTTCTCCCTACGCTGCCCACCTGTTTGATGCTGAAGATGCCAACACACCCATGCGGCTGTTGCCTGGACTGTGTGGTGACTACTGCTTTGACTACTGGAACCAGTGTCGCTACACACTCAGCCTCCTTCTGGAGAACATGGGAAGCCCGCAGCAGTTCTCCAACCTGACAGCAATACTGGAAGAAGATCGCACAAAGTTCTGCGACTTTCTGGAGCTGAGAGACAAACAGTACTGCTATCCAAATGTGCTGACCAATGAAGGTACAGTTCTCCGTAAATCACTAGAATCGGCCTGTAGTCATTTGTTTTTTGTTTCTTTTCCTACTTATTCACAGCAAGAGACAGATGTGGACTGCAGGCAGGACAGACTGTAATGCTGTGCCTTCAAAGTCACACTTTTGTAACACAGTATATGCAGAATGTTAAACTGTGTTTATTATGATAAGTAGCTCTCACTGCATGAACTCACCCTCTACTATTGTTGATCTTTTCTCTGGACACAGAACTGAATGCAAACCTGGGCTCAGTACGTGAAAATACCAAAGGCTGTCTGGAGTTGTGTTTACAGGAGGTTGCCAACGGGCTTCGCAACCCTGTGGCAATGATTCATGCCGACGACGGAACACACCGCTTTTTTGTGGCGGAACAACTGGGATACGTCTGGGTGTATTTAGCCAACGGCTCTAGGATTGATCGGCCTTTCCTCAACCTCACACGCGCTGTCCTCACGTCACCGTGGTCTGGAGACGAGAGGGGATTTCTCTGCATCGCCCTCCACCCAAGGTTTCACAGCTGCAGTGCTTCTCATTTATAACTGTCCACAGTTTTTGTCTTCGCACATCTTCAAGAGAGATGTTTCCGTGTTGTCTGTTCAGATTTAGGACAGTCAGGAAAGCCTACGTGTACTACTCTGTGTCAGTTAAGAGAGAGGAGAGGATACGGATCAGCGAGTTCACCATGTCGACTCATGACGAAAACCAACTGGACCACTCGTCTGAGAGGTGAGAAGTTAAAATAAACACTAGTGGAAACAAAGAGAAAGAAACCTTGGAAACTGTGATATGTTCTCTGTGTGAGAACATCTCCATAGTATTTGAATCCACCTAAACCTTGTGGCTTCCTGCTAATGAAACAGATGCTTATCAACTGTGTTTCCTCTCAGCAATTACCAATGATGTTAACACACAATTATAGCTCAAGTAAGTTTAAAAAAAACCCAACACAGTCAGCAACAACTTTACAAAAACATAAATAAATGAACGAAAACAATTGCGTGACATTTTGCAAGCTAAGGCTGCTAAAATAATTCAACACAAATAAAATCACAAAGAAGGCCCTGCAAATATTACATTAAGTTCTTCCGCTGCTTTTATAGCACTATTAAAGTTAAATGAGAAATTGTTGCTGCATTTTTTTTTTACATATCCATATTATAATGTTTAAGTCTATTGCATTTCTTTTAATATGACTTCTAACTGTAATTGTCGTATTTCTTTCTCTAATCATTTTTGCTACAGAACCATCCTTGAGGTGGTGGAGCCAGCGTCCAATCATAATGGAGGACAGCTGCTGTTTGGTCAAGACGGCTACCTGTACATTTTTATTGGAGATGGTGGTCGTGCAGGAGATCCGTTTGGAAAGTTTGGCAACTCCCAGAACAAGTAATTTTGAGTTCACCATTTAAGTCTCATGGTCAATGGGACTGTTTCTGTTCAAAATACTACAAAGTTTAACTCGTAATCCAGTAAGAGGATACATTTAGACACATTGGTCCTCTATTTTAGGGCAAAGGACGTCACACAGGATACATTTAGACACATTGGTTCTTCAACACAACCTCTATTTTAGGGCAAAGGACGTCACATTCACAGTATGGTCTTATTCATTATTTATTTTGATTAAAGTAATGCTCATTATTATGTAATACTCTAAATTTAGACCCTGGACTGCTGGAAAAACAAAGCATGCTTTCATGCTTTGGAATAAAAAACATTAGGTACTACAGACCCACAAGTAAACATTTAACTTCTTTTACACTTTTCTCCAGACAGTTATATTTTGTCTGGGAAGCTTGTAAGTGTTTTGTTGACATGCTGTATTAGCTATTCTAAGAATGACAGGGGATACACCCTGCCAGGTCTAATATTGACACGACATATTGCACTACATAGGCTGCCACAAAGTGATGTGTGTGTGTCTGGAAGAGTAGAGAGTGTGTAGTGTGAGGACGGAAAGAGCAGACACAGGGAATAAGGTGAAAACATTCTGGAGGAAAAAGGTGAAAGATGGGGGAGAGGGGAAACTCAGAACTGGAAGATTTTCAAAAAAGAAAAATAGCTCAATTGGAAAACAGGAAAGAAGCAGATTTTCAGAAATAAATACACCGGTAAATCCCAAATAATTTTCATCATTAGCTACGTATTTACCCTTTCTTTTCTCCACTTCCTGTCTTGCAGGTCAACCCACCTTGGAAAAGCGCTGCGTATTGATGTCGACAACAATGATGATGGTGCTCCGTACAGCATTCCATCAGACAACCCGTTCGTGAACGAAAAAGAGGCCAAACCTGGTAACACCTTGAATTACAGTTTGTATGTGTTATAATGTGTTAAATGTAGTCAGATCCCTGGGAACAAATGCAAGGATTTTACAAAAGTGCATTTAAAAAAAAAGTATGCTGGTCTTATATTTAATTTATTTAATTTAAATTTTTTAAGTTACTATCAAAGTTCACTTCAAGGTTTCAATCTGGTTAGTTTTGTACAGTTTTATAGAAAAGTATAATAGAATAGAATAGAATACTCTTTGTTGTCATTGTACCACGGGGTACAACGAAATAAAAATTAATGAGGAAATTAATCAGATGTCATCTGCATAACATCTCAACATCTCAAGAGTCTTGAGTTGCACCTTACTGTATTTCTTATAGTAGGGTATATAGTAGAGAATATATTTAAGGGCCCTAGTGAAGAACCTTGGGGGACTCCTTGACATTTCTTTGTAGTGTTTGTGCAATTGAAGAGTTTAATCACAGCCAGTTCACATGATCAAAATATAGTTTCATTCATAAAGTTATGTGCAGTTTTGGTGAATGGAATGTTAGTAAACAGCACATCTACACTTGAGATCAAATAACGAGTAACTGTCAACACATCTCACGTCAGAGCCAAGGTCCAAGGTAATTATAATATAATTGTTTCTTTCGCGCTTCCTGTCTTTCTTCCCAGAGATTTATGCATATGGGGTGAGGAACATGTGGCGCTGCTCTATCGACCGTGGAGACCCAGCAACAGGCAGAGGTAGAGGCAGGATGTTTTGTGGGGATGTAGGCCAGAACAAATACGAAGAGGTTGATCTTATCGTTAAAGGTGAGTGGAAAATTTGTTAAAACCATCATTCTGTCAAAGAGTTGGGATTTAAAACAAATACAACTTTCTTTGGCCTAGTTTGTCTTAATTTTAACTTTATGTTGCTGTATACTAACTCACTAACAGGAAATGCCTGTCATTATCGTCTCACATCGCCACATCAAAAAAACTGTTCTCTCAGCAATCACGCAGTCAGACAGTCAGAGTTTAATTTCAGTCTGCTCCCTAACAATTACAGTCTGCATGGGGTCTGGTCCTCCTTAACTCAAAAAAGGTCACAAAGTAAACATCAAATTGCATCAAATTACTTCTTTTACAGCCAAACAATAGTTGAGTAGATTTAAAAGGAACGATACTTTATGAATTCTACTGCTTTAGAGTTACAGTAAATGAAGCCACGTACTTCTTTTTCTGTTCTTTTACTATGTCACCACACTTTTAAAGGAGGCAACTACGGATGGAGGGCAAAAGAAGGCTTCAGCTGCTACGACCGCAAACTCTGTCAAAACTCTTCTCTAGGTGAGTTCAGCTTCTGAGTTACTTGCTGTCAAAGAGCATTGTGTACCCAAAAACTGATTTGATTGAGATGGGTGACAGCTTTAACTGTTGTAATATTAACGGAAAATTAGTGGATATAATAAAATTTTTTGCCATTTTGTCTTACATTTGAAAACATTTCAATGTCCATTTTTTTATAGTTTACGCCTGGAAAATCTCAGTTGCTAAAGCTAGTGGTTTGTTAGGTGAAATCGAACACGTCACAAACACACACTGTCGTTCAAATGCTTCAGTTCACGATTTTAGTGGAGCAAACATGACTATTTCTTTACCTTAAAGCAGCGGTGTAAAACTCAATCGCTCAAGGGGCCAAAATTTATAATGAAAAAGGATTACCGTAATTTTCAGACTATTGAGCGCACCTGAATACAGGCCGCACCCACTAAATTTGTAAAGAATAATAATTAATAATTGTACATACATAGGCTACACTTCTCTATTAGCCGCAGGTGTCCACGTTTTAACATGGGATATTCACACAGAAAGATTTTTTTTTTCACTTTTAATTAAATAAATGCTTTTTTGACATGTTCTTTAAAGCTTCATTTGCAAAAAAGCAGGCAGAGACGTTGAGCAACCAAGTGCTAACTTGTTAAATGAGAATCTTACTTACTGTCCCTCTTTTGTGTTTTGTAGATGACATCTTGCCTATCTTTGCCTACCCCCACAAGTTGGGCAAATCAGTGACAGGGGGATACATCTACAGAGGATGTCAGATGCCCAACCTCAATGGACTCTACATCTTTGGGGATTTCATGAGTGGGTGAGTGCTTTTGTCAGTTTTTATAAACACATAATTGTGGTCTGGGGAAAGCACTAGTTAAGCACTTTAAGAATACAATGCACATACGTGGATGCATGCCTGGGGTTATATTTATGGTGATGCATTGTATGTGTTTGTTTGTAGGCGTCTGATGTCATTAAAGGAGAATGAGGCCACAGGGGAATGGCAGTACACTGAGATTTGTATGGGAGCAGACCAGACCTGCAGATTCCCTAAACTCATCAACAGTTATTATAAATACATAATCTCTTTTGCTGAGGATGAGGCAGGTAAATATGGTGTTTTATACCATGCACAATATTCCAGTGGGACTCTGTGTACGAGGAGTGTTGGCATGTCGGAGTGATTATGGAGGTTCATTTAGGATGTTTACATTGAAAAACCCAAACAAGCGTGGATTTTCAAGCCCCGCCTGCCCCGTCACCCACACAAAATTCTTGACAAATCCTAAACACCAAGTAACATCAGTTTATATTCAATCAAGATCAAAGTTCAAAAGAGAAAACAGAAGCGCAGTTGTGAGATCATCACTTGACTTTGTCTCGTCCCACAAGTGGGGCGCGCCCTATTTAAAATAGAAAGAATCTTATCTTCACTTTAATGACGTTGATGTGGACTGATTCTAGCTGTTGTTAATGGTATTGGCTTTCCAAGAGACAGACTAAATTCCCTCATTCTTCGGATTAAGAAGTAATAAAAAAATAAATGTGAGTGACGGGAGGATGTCAATTCACCAAACTGTTTCGACTTACAGTATGTGGAATCTTTAGTTCCAGTTATCTGTTTGATATCAAATCTGCTTTGCATTAATGGTCAGCAGCACATGTGCTGCACACTTACAAACAGAGTATGTTGCACATCTGTTGTCAGTGATGATTTACTCATTCTCCCCTACCAAGAGCTTTGGAACAGACAGTATTTGCAGAGTTCAACCGTAATCCAACACCCGGTGGTCCAAGTTACTGCCTGTATTCATTATTGTTGTTTCTCTTTTTCTCGTATCTCTTCACTGTTTCTCACTGCAGACGTCTTCATTAGCCACCTTTTTGAATTATTTTATTAAGTGTGACAAATATTTTTTCCAGGTGAGCTGTACTTTTTAGCTACAGGAAGCCCAAGTGCCACAGCCAGAGCAGGAGTCATCTATAAAATAATCGATCCATCCAGGTAGTTTTTACCATTTATTTGAACTGATGACTTGGTAGATTACTTCTTTGCTTCATAGCACATGTAAAAGTGTCCAAAAAACCTTTTTTGTTGTAATTAAACTGAAGAAATTAAAAGTGTCCAAAAAACCAGGAAATTATGTCCCAATTCCTCAGCTTCTTGAAAAATAATGAGGCATGTGCAGAATTTATGCATAGAATAAAATTTGTCTTTTTTGTTGTAATTAAACTGAAGAAAATACAATCAGAATTTTTTTTTTATGTTGATCAAACAGGAGAGCACCACCAGGAAAATGCAGCGTCAAACCATCTCATATCAACATAAAGGGCAAGCTAATTCACTTTTACCCTAAAGAAGGTAAAATGATAACTAACAATATTTATAATATTGCTTTTCGTCTACAAATTTTATAATGTCTTATTCTTGCGTTTTCAGAATTTGTAATCAACAAAAAACCGACCACGACAGCTGTGCCCACGACGACCACGAGAAGAACAACGACCACCACCAAGAAAACACCGAGAAAACCCATAATAATAATTAAACCACCAATGCCAACGAGAAACACAATAAGAAAACCGCAGCCGCCCCAATCAGCCACAACAGCACCGAGAAAAACTACAACAACCATAAAAGCAACAATAAAAACCACAACATTACCCACAACTGTCCAGATGGCCATGGAAACAACTCCCACCACAACCGCAGCCACCGGTAGGCCTACTGGTTCACCTGTTTACCAAAGCACCTCCACCGAGCACAGTTTAACCAGGGACACAGCCACTAGGTTTGACGTGCACCAGACCAATGAGTCAACTATTGTTAGGACTAATGTTAAACCAACAAGGTCATCAGTGCATACATCACCAAGGGGGGAAGCCACTAGGGTGAAACCAGGTTTGCAGCTCTGTGCTCTGACACTGCTTTACATTTTAGCACGGTAAAACCTGCTTTAGCACTCCAAATTGTTGTTTCTTTTAATTTTAATACAAGCTTTTTAGTGGAAAATCACAGCACTTGTAGCAAAAGGTAGAGTATTCAAATTTAAAAAAAAGGGAAAAAAAATAATGGCTTATGCTGCTGCTCCTGAAAATTACTGTAGTTGTAAATACAGGGGGTCCTAAACTTACTGGGCTCGGTTCCCGGCGGTGACGAAACTCAAATTTCCGCCGCAAGTCAGCACTTACATACGATTACATGTAGGTTGAGGACCTTGTGAACTGAGGGGACCCCCTGTATCTGATTAATGCTTCTTTTTGTTTTTACAAAATCAAATCATGAGGAATCGGCAGCTAATGTTAAAGAAACGACGCAGCGATTTCTTTTTAACCCCGATTGGTTATCTATTTCTTTATTCCTCTCAACTCAGCTTCTCCAAAAAACGCCATTTCCTCCTCTCACACTCTCTCTCTTCCTCACGTGCTCTCACCACACCTCCTCACTCCCCTTCCCATACCAGTAACTGTTAACTCCTTCAAAACACATGAACACCGAACATTATGAATCCTAAACAAGCCTCAGCGTCGCAGCTTATTTTATTAATCTATATTGATAATCAGGAGATTGTATGCAGAATGCTGGTGCCAGCAACTCAAACAGTGGTTTCTAGAGATAATTAAATAAATATTACCAGGCACTCAATAGTATTTCAATTGTGTCCCCTAGGGGGCCAGAAAATAATTGAGAAACACTGTTTTAACCAATCACCTAATTGAGCAGGCAACACTTAACTTCCATCACTGGCCTGCTATAATTAAGTGTTTGGACAGTATTGGCATATTGGATATTGGCAAAAAGTTATTATCGGAAATCCCTAATAAATATGTAGGAAAACAGAACCTGTTGGAAACCAGTTAGACCACACGGAAAGTGTGCCGTTGAACTGAAGGGAACACTAATTTTTAAAGAAATGTATACATGGTGACATTACAGCAGCGTAGGTTGAGGACCTTGTGAACTGAGGGGACCCCCTGTATCTGATTAATGCTTCTTTTTGTTTTTACAAAATCAAATCATGAGGAATCGGCAGCTAATGTTAAAGAAACGACGCAGCGATTTCTTTTTAACCCCGATTGGTTATCTATTTGTTAACTTGATTTACTGTATGTTTGTTATGTGCAGCTGTGGCTATTTCAGCTATTATTAAATTGCAATTCAAACTGTCTTTCCTTTACCAGCACCTGGAGAGCGATATATAGTATGTTCCGGAATTCTGTTGTTAACCTGAATGGACTTTTGACGTCTTAGGAAATTTGTCTTGTGATACCACGTCAGTGTAAGATTTAAAAAAAAAACAAAACAGTTTGACATGATTCAAAATGTGTTTGTTTTGGTGTAGCAGTAGGTAGCTAGCAGGATTGGAAAATTGAACTTTACTTAGTTAATAGCACATTGAACAATTCTGTTAATTTCTTTACAATGCACTTCATGTGGTAAGTAAATCAATTCATTATTGAATTTTTATTTTTTTTGTGTGTGTAAATATGGCTAGAAATGACATTGAGAAGCTCAGGTTGTTAGCATGGTGCAGAGGAAGGCTTTGTTTCCATTTTCCATGTTTCTGGTGAAAGATGTGCTGAGCATCAAATATGGTTGCTGAATGGGAAAGAAAAGTTTTGGTCGATTGTAAAGCTATATTTTCAAATAAAGAGGGTGATTCTGTCTCTCCCTCAGGTTATCGTGCAACCGTCATGACCACAGTCTACTCTAGGATCGCTCAAACCCCGATCACCACTCCACGTCCAACGAGAAGACCTGGGAGACCAGTTCAGTTGCCCCTTAGCACCACACCCCAACCGATAACCTCACCCCAGCCCGCTCCTTCTTCAACACCAACAACAGCTTCAAAACGACCTCAGACAACTCTGCCACCCGAGCGTCCTGCAGCGTTGACCACCACTGGTCCACCATCGCAATCCAGCCCAAAACCTTCTGGACCTCTCAACAAACCTCGGCGACCAACCAATACCTCCATTTCTAAAAGCTTTGAGAGGAAGTTGTGGTTCAGAGAGAAGTTGGAAAGTGTTGGAGGAGTAAACCAAATATATAAAAAGCCAAACGGGGGTAAATCACGAGCAGGGAAAAGGCCAAGGGCGGGTTCAGTGCGACTTGTTAGCGCTGACGGTTTATCAGACCGGGGTAGGGTGGAGATCTTCATCCGAGGAGAGTGGGGCACAGTGTGTGACGACCTTTTCACCAGTAAGTCGGGCACCGTGGTGTGTCGACAACTTGGCTTCACAAAAGTGCTCGCTGTGATGAAGAGGGCTGCGTTGGGCGAGGCCAACGGTAGCGTCAGGATTTTGTTGGATGACGTGGAGTGCGAGGGCGGGGAGCGATCACTGCTGCTATGTAGGAGATCCAAGGTTGGGAAACACAACTGCTCACATGGAGAAGATGTGGGTGTGATTTGTGGTTAGAGCTATAGGTCAGAGAAGCAATAGGAAGGAAAGGACAGGACCGTTGGTTTATGGACAGTTCGTATATAGGTCAGAGAAGCATAGGAAGGAAAAGAATAGGACCGTTGGTTTATGGACAGTTCGTAACATTAGCCCTCGACCAGCTTTTTAAAGTAAAATTCTAAGTGCTTTTATTCAGAGTTGGGTATTTTACCACATAGTGAGGAATCACTATTTTTTCCTCTCAAGCTGAATTGGATATTATCGGATATTGGATATTTTACTTTTTGATTCTGTCTGGTTCTCTTTTGGCATGAACCCCAGTCCTACTTTTATGGTGAGGACGATGTTCTCTGGGTTCTACGCCGTTCCCTCTCCCCTGTGAATGTAGGAAACATCTCTATGGCCATAAGCATTTGAGTTTTGTTTCAGTTGCCTGAATGAGCTACGGTGCTGATATTACACTTGTGCTGCCAGTTATTCTAGTGTTTAGAGAATTTACTAGTTTTCTATCTAGACTTCGCTTTTTTTTTAAGCATTTTTTAACATTTTTATACCATTTATAGCTCAATTTTTAAAGTTAATAATACATCTCTTGCTTGTTTTTTTTATTGTTTTTTTTTTTACTTGTAGGCAGCCTCAAACTCTATTTGTGTTTCAGTTGCCATTACACATGGCAGTCAACCTCATTTTATAACCTGAATTCAAATGTCAAGAGAATAACAATGTTGAAGCACATTATATTGTGGGAAATGTTTTTTTGTATGCAAAGAACACTAATGTCGGTTTCCTTAATGAGTGTAAAGCAGTGATAAAAAAAACCCCATATCTTTCTGTGTATTAAAGCACTTAGAAAATACTTTAGAAAGATCCCAACTGTATTGAACTGTTACACACCAGGAATGACAGTATTAGGAAAGAGCATGCAAACAAGAAGATGTTCAAGTAGGAAATGATCGACTGCACATTACACCGATGAATGTTTGAAACAGTTTGCCAAAAAAAAAAAAAATCTATAGATTGTATGTTTTTATTTTCTTATTCCGTATGTCTGTAAATTGCTAAATGCAGGAAAGTCCACCGATATTGTCCTTCTGATTTACACGTGCACTTTTAAAAGATGGGTTGTAAAGGATGGTTCATATCCCTACATGGGACTCTGTCTGTCAGACCAAATATTTTGGATGAACTCGTACCAGAATTTGATCAAATTCTAGCAACCGTTCTGGAAATACAGAGTAGGACAGACAGAGAATACAGGAAATGGTCAAAGCATTTTACAACGCAATGTGATAATATTCATTTCATGGGAGAAACTGTCATGATTTGCTGTTTCTATTTACAATTTCACCAAAGGACATTTACCCCCCGCTAAATGGATTGTGAAAATGTTTTATTTTAATTGCATAGCTGCAACAGTTCTATTTTTTGTTTGTTTTTATTACAACTGAATGTACTTTTAAAATGATTTAAAAAGAAGCAAATATTTTTTCAAATTTTAAAATCGAGAAATGCTGGACATTCTGGGCTGAATGTAAAAAAAATTGTTACCAGTGATATGTATTAAGATTTTAATCATGTGAATAAAGTGTATTGCAAAGTGATTTTGATACATTTGTGTGTTGTGGCAGCCTGAACTTGGACACCATTTTTTGCAGACACAAATCTAGAACTTAGTGTCAAAACACCTCATGAAGAAGATACCACTAAAGAATTTGAAGAATTCTTCCACATTGTGTTATTTGAAACCGTGTTCTTTGGGGAGTAAAAATATCCCTCGGCTGCTTTTTCAATAAACTCATATTTTTCCAGGAGCGGCAGCGATCCCTCTGCAGCTGCAAATATTTACGAACCACAAGTGCAGCCATTTACAATTTGGTTGTAAACCCTCACGTTTTCAACATGATTGCAAAACAGATTGGAAAATATTGTTGACCAAATTGATTGTAGTTTTTGGCCATGTGACCTTTAGTTGACTATGATAGTTTGATAACAGGTAGCAAGAAATATAAGTCTTTATTTTTATGAAAAAAATTCAAAAATCAAAAACTTCGTTCTTTAACAACATAATATTTTTATATGTTACATTACAAAACATATAGTTTTTGACTTGCATAGTGCAGTGCGATCTGGGTCTGGTTGGTAGCAGTAATTTGGACTCGTATGGGGGGGTCACACTTGAAATCTATGGCTAGTTAAGGTATAGATGAGCAGAAATCAAGGGGAGACAAATGAGAAATAAATGAAAAAAATCTTGAAGAACTTCAAGTTATATAGGACTAACCTAGGGAACGTTATAATTTCGCTTGATGGTAAATGGCTTTAATCATTAAAACATTAACTCATTATTGTAACCTTCGGTCTATATTTTACAATGTTGCAGTTTACCATATTATCACAAGAGGGTGCCAAAGTTTTGTTGTTCAGCTGCACATGACAAGAGCACGGATGCTGCCTATTACTCAGTTGACCCAGATTTATATAAAAAACTAACGCGCACACACATCTGGGGAAAACCACAGTAACATATAAGTCCAAACGTTGACATGTACTGTGTGTGTGATGAACAGATAGAGAGAGGGAGGGGGGCGGAATGTATGCAGATCCTTCATTGGATGTAATTTAAAAAGCTGTGCGTAAAGACGCAAAGACTCAAATACGTACAGGAATATTTACTATCACAATAGCATTACTTATCTATTAAGTATTTTGTACATCTTCCCAGTCTGATACCGTGTTACTGCCATAGTAGGCTTTCACAATATGAACGAGAGTATTGCTACAGAAAAAAACGAATGTCCTCAACACAATGTGCTAGTTCAACATGCTATCTATGGATGTATTGATTCACGCATCAATTTTTGAAAACATAAATAAATAAATAAATCCAAATGCATTTTATAAGTGCGCTGCGTTATTGTGGGGCCAAATGCATTTATAAGTGCGCTGCGTTATTGTGGGGAGGGTTCGATGCTTAGAGCACCAGGAGCTTAAACAGCACCACCGCTAGGCCAGGAAAAGGAGCAACATGCTCAATACTGAGAAAAAAACAACAACAACAAATATCTTAATAATTTAACGGACTTGCATACTTTCCGCCGCTATTGCAATTGTGTTTTTCAGATTTTATGTAGGAAAAAAAAAAAACCCCAAAGCCACATGAACACACATGAGTGACTCACAGACCAGGTCTGATACATCTTTCAGTATATATTCAGTAGGATGTATACTGTGTCACATCTGCTTTGCTTTAGTTTACCAGCACGTGAAGTACATCTATGCATATTGAATGTAGAGACATCTTTTTTATGAACACGGCCTAGATCATAAAAAAACACCCATGACAGCTCCACAACAAGGACATCTGTACAGCCCAAATTACTCCTTATGTAACCTCATCAAATATAAATGGTATGTGCAATGTGAATAAAAAAAAAAAAAAAGAATTCAACTTTAACACAGACACAGTCATCTCTGTGAGAGAGAGCCTTCCCTTCACCCTAACCTTTTAGACTATTACCACCATATGCTTAATCTTAACCCTGAACACATATTTAATCTGACACTTATTCTAATCCCGTCTCCAAACTAAATCTTGAACATCAAAATACCCTCACATTCAGTGGGGACCTGTGAAATGTCCCCGTAAGGACAAAGTCCCTTTTCTCCACCAAAACAATGTCCCCACATGTCGGGTAACACCAATATATCACACACATACCAAAAACAGACCTATTTTTTCTTAGCTGTTTTCTTTAGTGATTCATTAAACAAAGCTTCATTATTTTTTCATATATTAATTCCCTGACAGGACGAAGACAAATTGCCCTAAATACCAAAGCCTTTGGTTCGTTACAGAGTGCATGTGCAGTCTGAAATGCTTGTATGAAAAACTAACCAGCCTTGTTTTCTTTTCATGTTTAAGCAGCAGATTCTGAGGGAAAAGAAAAATGTAAAGAGTTTTTTATATGAGCATGCATATGGGAAAATATGAATGTACAGAAGAGTGTATTATTTATGTGGAAGAGGTATCGGGAAAATATGAATGTACGGAGTGTATTATTTATGTGGAAGAGGTATAAATGGTGTCACAAGGTCCTGGGAGTGTTACTCTCCAACAGCCTGTCCACATCGTTCTGGAAGGTTCTCTCATCACAGAAGGATGGAAAATCTCCAAAGGAAGGACAGCAGAAGGGCATAAGAGACGTGCTGACGGAACTGGGCGAAGTGAAGGATGTGACGGAAGGGGGCATTTGAGGTAGGTAAAGTGTGGGACATAGAAGGGGCAGAGGAGGAGAGAAGGGGGTTAGAGTCAGCAGCAGAGGCAGAGGGAGAGAAGGACAATTATAGAGAGAACGGGAGTGAAGATAAAAAAATGGGAGGGTAGGAAATGAGGAAAACAGAGCGGGAGAGATGGGAGAAGCAGGAGGAGAGCAGTAAAAAGGGGATGCTGCATTTTAGTGATACCACAGACAGAGTCTGCAGGAGCAGACGGAGGGATGGAGGGAGGGAGACAGAGAGACAGGGAGAAATTAGAACAGAGCAAAACATGAGCAGACACAGGGAGGGAGAGAGGGGAAGAGAGGGAGAGAGCACATTACAGGTAAAATGTGAGATTAAAAAAATGTGATTCTCATATTTTACAAGGAAGCAATCTTTAGGATTAACATTTGTTTCCCTTCTTTGAATTTCATTTGATTCCAAAAAAAGAAAGACCATTTTCTTCCATGACAACTGCCCTGGGAGCGTTCCCCACTTCAACCAGTCGAACCATTCATCCATTTAATCCATGCAGTGTTCCCTCGTCTTTCCCTCCACCTCGACTCCATCCATCCATGTATGTTACTCATCAATTCTCTTCCTTCATTTCCTCTCCCGACCTGCTTCTCCTCTGGCTTCACTTCTTATCCATCTCACATCATTTCTCTAGTCTGCCCACACACATAAGCTTTTCTCCTCAACTCCTCCTCCTCCTCTTTTCTCCATCCATTTCTCCCCAACTGTCACTTCCACAGATCCTGAAGGCATCTCTGCTTCTGTTCAGCATGTCCCATGCTTTTTTCTCTCCTCTGTATAGTCCATGTGCTGCTGTCCCTCTGGGACTGTTCTAAGTATTCTCCTCTCTTCTTTTCAGACTACGTTCGACCTGAAGAAGCAGACGCAGGCAGGGACAGAGAAGTTGCAATGCTAACTATAGCAAGTAAAAGGACATCACTCCATCATTAAGAGGCGGAATTCTGATACCAACGTCAGCAACGGTGGGAACAGACAAAAAAGAAAAATCATCTTTTTTTTCTTTTTTCTTTTTTTTTTGCCAAGGTTGGTTTTTACTTTGAGTTGATGGCCATCCACACGTCATCCTGTCACTTTGGAGCTCTTTGGTTAGAGGGAATTTTAGGGTAAAAACATTTGCAAGCAGAGAGAAAGAAAGCTACAAAACTCAACAGATGGAATTGATGCAGCAGAGATGCAAAACTCAGATGACAACAGATGGAATTGATGCAGCAGAGATAAGAGAGGGAAACAGGAGAGTAATAGAAGAAACCGAGGGAGAAAATTAAAAGCCGACGTAGCCTGACCAGAAGTGAGCAGTCCAGTCCGCAGCTGGGGGAGAGAGGAAGAAGGAGGAGAAGGAGGACAGCAAGAGAAACAGCAGCGGCGGCAGACAATGAGTGAGATGCAGGGCCGAGTGACTCAGCCCGCTGGAGGCAAAGAAAGAGGAGGCTGAGTTTAGACAGTGAGGAGTTGAGAGTGACTCAGACCAGTAGAGAGAAGGTTGAATAGAGGTTCGCTCCAGGGTGGATACAGAAAACACACAG